ACATGTTTCTTATAAACATTAGAAATAAATGTTGAAATCAGTAAATTCTTTCTGTAATTTTGTTAGATAAAGCTGATGGCATATTAAACTTGAAATTCATTTGATTGAGAGCACAGAGAAAGGCTGGGAGCCAATCATCTGATTTTAATGTCTTGGAAAAGAGTCAATAAAAAAGAGGATTTTTGAAGAGCCACTCTTTTTGTTGAAGTTGAAGGATTCGTAGATAAAAGGATTTTTCAAGTATATTTACTTCATTGAATATTTGTAAAAAAGCATTGCTAAAATTTTATATAAGTCATTGATAAAGTGAAGTTAAATTGTAGAAATAATGCGAATAAAATAAATCTGATAGAGTATATTTGAAGAGTTTTAATTTTCTTTTAACAAAAGTTAAATAGGTGATGACAAAGCTTTTACACTGTGATTAGACGACGACGTGAGTTAAGATCTGTATTTGAGTCTTGAAAGAAGAACAATGTTAAAAATATAAATCAGCTATGAATCTGTAAGGTGTTTATGCTTCATAATAGTAACGGCTTTTTTGATTTCACTATGTATCTGATTGTAAATAAACTTTTTGTTAGACTTGAGTAAAATTCAAACTCCCAAGTATCTAATACTAGCTTTTGGAGAAAGAGTATTGATAGATCACGTATCATTATTATAGCAGATTTCAAAAGGAAGATTTTGTGAAATGTTGACAAGAAGTTCTGATTTTGACCAATTGATTTGTATATTGTTAAAAGCGAAGAAACTGTTTGTAATAGATGTAATATTTGTTAAGTCGTCACTAGACTTAGTGAGCCAGAGAAGGTCATCCATATAGGCAAGGGCTAGAATCTTTAAGTGAGAAATATTAGAATCGGGAAGATAAGCATCAGGATGCCATTTAACTTTTATACTAAAATCATGTAAAGAATTATTTATAGTACATAGAAGCAGATCATAGTAAATACATCACAAATGCAGTAATATAACTTTACATTAATCTATTCCTAAGTGAATAAGATATATATTAGAGTTTTCATAGGTGGTAAAGACTTGGTTGAATCTGGACAGAAATAAGTGCAAAATATTGTGAATGAATTTAGCAAGAAGGCGTGGTCTTGTAAAAGCTATAACAAGAGTAAAAATATTTACACAGTTATAGGCTTTAGATATATCTTGCAAGAGGATTACAATTCTATATTATTGTAAAAGGCATTTTGTTTGATGTTGTCAAAGATATGAATGGGGTCAAAAATGGATTTGAAAAGAAGACCAGTAAAATTATATTCTTTTAGAATATTGTGTTAGACGAAAACTTCAGCAAGTTTTGAATTAAGTAGTTGAACAAATGCTTTTTAGTGCATTCTAATAAAGTAATTAGATAAGTATTATTCAAATCATATTCTTATAGTTTCAGTTTTGAGATTGGGTAAACATATACCAGATTCCAACAGTTGGGTATTAAGGAAATTTGTAAGCAGCTGCAAATAATATATTATAAGCATTTCTTCGCAAGTGGTCCTAAATGTTTCAATATCTTATTCAAAATTTTGGATAATTCTAAGGCTTTATAATGTGAAAGTCAATTAATAATCTTATATCATTCGTCTGCAGAAGATAAAGACATCAAATTGTTGTAGAATTAGAAATTAATTGAGTTTACTAGAGTATATACAGAAATCTAATCCTCTGGGATCTCTTTAATACAATGTGTAATGCTTGCAACTTATTGGAAGTGTCTGGTGACTTCTTTTTTTAACATCAGGTTCCTTAAAAAATAGATCTCAAGATGGAAACGAATTATCGATATATTTATCTAATATAATGGTAGTTTTTTTTGATTAAAGACTGAGTCAATCATCTGAGATGGGTTATGTTTAAAGTCATCTACATAGGTATTAAGGATTTTCTGAATACTTTTGAGTTTTAAATCATGTTTATGCAGTTCTACTTTCATTTTAAAGCTAGCGAAAAGAAGTTTAATATCTGAAAAAATAGAATGAACTAAAATATAATGAGAAGGACAATTAAGAGAAATGGTATTTAGGCCGTTGAAGTGAGCAAGCTGTAAAAATTATGAATATAAATTAATCTATTTAGGATGAACAGTAAGGTCTTTAAGATATTTTTTGATATTTTTGCAAAATGATAGAGTAATTTATATTATTGTAGATCTTTGATAGAGTAATAGGTTTTTTTGAAGAGTGATAATTTTTTACCTTGTGTATTAGAATACATTTTTTTGTCACTGAAATGAGGAAATCTTGAAAGAGATCCCAAGATGAGTTAAGAAGATTTTGTGACCAGATTGTGTTATGTAAAATGTATTTCAGTAAGTTAAAATTCATCTTATTGTCAAATTTGTCTTTAAATTTAAATCATTTAGAATCGTCCATTAAGTTGTAGTTGAAGGAAAATTTGACTGAACTTTTCCTTATAGATACAAAATGTTTTAAGGAATTGAGTATCTTGGTTAAGACAATATAGTGGTCAGAGATAGAAAAGTCTATTTGAACAGTTTTACAGTCAAGAATATTGAGCGCTAATTCAGGTATCATAAAAATATAGTTAATTCTAAATGAAAATGTTTTGTTGACGAAGGATGGATATAACATTTTGTCTTTTTTAAATCGAACATTAAAGTATCATACAAATTATAATGATTGAGGGAATTAATAAAATTTAAATTAAAAGGGGAGTTGTTAGAATGATCCATGTCTGCATTTAAGTCTCTGATGAGAATGATATAAAACTCGTTTTTGATAGCATCGTCTAATAATTGTTTTAAAAAGGTAATTAATTGTTTTGTAACTTTAGTTGGAAGATTGGTAGGTAAAAGATAACAATTAATGACCAGTAATTTTTGTTTGTTCGTAAATTAAAGTTTTGCATAAATAATTCTATCAAATTTGAAGTCATAAGCAAAAATGTATTTAGCAATACAAGGGCTAAAAGAAAGGCTGACACCAGTTTCAGTTGGACAGAAGTTTTGGTTATTACTAAAAAAAGTAGTATAATTAGGAAAGTCATGATTGAAAATGAAAGTAATTCCCTTAAAATTAGTTTCCTGTAAACCTATGATGTTGAATTGATTAGTTGAATATAAGAAAAAAAGGTAATTTTATTTTGTAGGGTCATTGAAAGAACAGATATTATGTATTGCAATTCTAAGATTAGAAAGGGAAGGAGTGTAAGAAATAGGAGTACTTGTGTTGTTCATTGTAAGGATAGTAATTATGATAGTAATAATAATTATTGTTAGAAGTTGCTGATACAATTTTCTATTGCTTTGTCAAGGTTTTCAATTAAGGGTTCAAAAATTTATGTGTCATATTTGTTAAGAATATTTTTGTTGAAAAGAGTGGTTTGGAGGTTGTAACAAGATTTAAATAACTTATTGAGTATAGGAGTAAATTCTGATATATGTTATTGTTGTTTCTGACAAATAAGAACTAATTGTTCATTTATTTATTTTTGTAAATGAGCAGTGCAAAGATTGGTATTAATATATGAGGATTTTTGATTTACTTCAATAGCAAATTCCAGTAAATTATTATTAAATTCCTCTGCTTCAGCAGGAATGACAACTTTGATATAAAGAGCTTTTTCAACAACAGCTAAACGTTGCTGTGAAAACTTAAATTTAACATAAAGATCAGTGAATGTGTTTAAAATAGAAGTAAGTTGAGAAGTGACAAATTGTTTAAAGTCTGGATCATAGATTGAGCTACATTTTACAGTATCATTGTTTAGTTTGAAATAAGAAGAATTTCAGTTTTCATAAAATCATCTATAAGGTTATCATCTGTCTAATGCAATTTTAGTTTAACAATGAAAGAATTAGAAGAAGATGTTTAAGCATTAGACTTAGGTGATGGAGGTAGGGAAGATCTTTTTTTAGGGATTTCTTAAGAATTTTTAAGTAGTGGCAGGGTCTTGGTCACATAAGTAAAAGTAATATTATTACGAACAGCGTCTCTTATAGGATTTCATTTAGATGCAGTATAATTATTAAATTAAGCAGATTGGAATCTTTGATACAGATTTTGCATGCTACAGTTTTTAGAAGTCTGATGACACTTAGGACAAGAAGATGTGTTATGATACGCTGATGAACAGATAGCACAAATTTTAACTTTTGGATCAGTCCACTCAAATTTTTTGTTATTCAAAGTTAAATTCTTGATATCCATAGCTGCCTGAATATCTTCTTTGTTAAGAAAATAAAAAAATGCATGATATAAGTAATTATAATTAGACTGAGCTCTAAGAATAATCCAGGCAGTGGCAGAAACTATATTGCTGATATCTTGGAGGTCACATGATGTAATATTATGGGAAAGGTTAGTAAGCTTAGCTAAAAAAGCAGAACAAGCTTGAATATCAGTTCTGGAGAGACTGCAAGGATAGTAATGGATCATATTCTTTAAAAGGTAAATGCTGTCTTCTTTTTTTAGTTCTTCAAAGTTGGTTTCTTATTGAAAGTAATCATAGCTCTTTGTCAGAGATTTTTAGTTTTCATAATGAAATGGACAATATTTTTAAATCTAAAAAATAATTTGCATAATCTAGTTTTTATAAATTTATAACTATGATCAACTGATCGGGTATGTAAGGGGCAGATTTTTTTATGTCTAATGATTAGAACGTGGTGTTATCTATATTAGAAAATTTGAAGTTGTAAAAAGTATCACATTTAGATTTATATACAAAGACAACTTTAATGATTGCTTAGTTTTAATTGACAGGATGTTTTTCTCTTATAGCATTGATGAACGAGTTGTATTTGTCATAGTACAAATCAGTGATCTTTGAGATCTTCATTTGAGGGTTTAGTCCAGAGAATTTTTCCATCAGAATATATGCAAAAAATTTGATAATCTGAGTTGAAGGTACTTCAAAACCAAGTGTTGAAGTGTTTAAAATATTTTCTAATATATTAAAAAACTCGTCAACACTCATAGTTAGTTTTGGTGTAGTTATTTCTGATGTTAATGTAATAATTTTAGGACTTTTCTCTTTTTCAAGGTTATTGGATGAACTTTCTTCAATAGGATCAATTTCCATCATGCTTATGTCTTTTGAAAGGACAGGTGTAATAGGAATATTTGAATATTCTACAGTGAGATCGTTATCTAAAATTTAACTTATATTTTGTTTCTTTGTTAGTTGTTTATTAGTAACTGGTGATGCAGAGCAATCGCGATTAGTATTCTTTCTTTCATTTTTTCTTAGCATTTTTGGTGGATTGTTAGATCAACAGAAAGAGTTTTTTCCTTACATTTTTTATGAATTTTTTTTAAAGTACGATAGTTTTGCTAAATTTTTATTATGATAAAAGTAGATATTTATACATTTATAGATAAACTAGAAATAAAATAAAAATAAAAACAAATCACAAGAAGAAACAAAAATCTCATTTAAAAATTATATTTTAAATAAGACTGACCTTACACTCCCTAAAATCAAATCTAACCTAAACTAAATTATCACTTTTTGAAAAAATAAATAAACAAAAGAAAAGAGAGCGTGGTCACTACTGCAATAAAAATTCAACAAATGTGAGTCTAACTGTATCATAGTGGTAATAGGATTTAATCTAAAGGTATTAGAAGTAAATCAGGAGGAGAAGTTATAACCTGAGATTCTAAAGTTATTTTTTTTCTTCGATAGAAATATTTGCAGAATTTTCTAACTCTTTTTGTATGTATCTGTCTATCCAAATTTGTTGAGTTTATTCATAAATAAGATGCATAAAAGAGAAACAGGCAGCATTAGTTAATTATACTGAATTAAATTTGCTATGAATAAAGCAGTAGAGTTATAAGGGAACAATTTCTTTGATAAGCGTAAAATAAGAAGTCAAGTTATAAGTGCAAAGCTGCTAACAAGACAATTGCTCTATTTTGATGTTAATTGCGTTGATAAAGATCTTTGAAGTTAATTATAATGTTTTTCATGTTATGATTAACGATTGGGTACATCCAAATATGATAAAAGTCATCATCAGCTACTTCACATCGAGAATATAAAATAGATAATGAAAAGAGCATCAGATGTCTAATCTTCATAATTTTTAGTGTAGGAAGCATTTCTAACATTCGTTGGTATTTAGCTTTTCTGATTGCTAAGACAACGTAAGAGATACATCCTGCAGCAATATTATTGTTTAGTGAGAATAAAGTGACAATCTAATGGAGATGGACAATCATAATGCTTTTTAAGAGAACTTTCAGGTTACTTAAATTTAAGATCGAAGATTCTCTGTGTAGTTCTTTTATGAATTGGTATATGGAATCGATATATATGAGTTATGAAATACCATAAAAGCTTTGTTAGAGTTTGAAGTAAGAAGTTGTAAGGCAGAAGATTGAGTGTAATTTCTGGCTAACTCATCAACTTTGTTGTTATAAAAATTATTAGAATGTGCTTTGACTTTAATCAGATATACATCCAGGTGATTATGTGATATGACATCAAATAGGCAAGATTATAATTGTTAATTTTAAGAAATGGGCAAAAAGTAGGTGAGAGGTAAAGAAGGATTTAAATTTTGTAAACTGGGATATAATAACCACTGAGTCAGTATAAATTTTCACTTTACAGTGAGGTGATGTAATGATTAGAGCTGAGAAGATTGCTGCGAATTTAAGAAGTGAAGATGATAGAAAACTAGTAGTAAAGGGTATGACGAAAGAATACAGTGGTGAGTCAGAATTAGTTTATAATCATGTCAGGCTCATTTTAATAGATAAGGTGCTAAGTTCTCGAAGGGAACCATCTGTATAAAATTTTAAAGTAGTAGAATTAATAAATTGTTAAGCAAATTTCTATAATTGGACATTGTAAGGTGAAGAAATATATTTATTTAGTAAATTAGTAGGTAACTGTAAGATAAAAGTTTGTGAAATGACTATAAATGAAGGGTTAAATTAAAAAAAAATCTAGTTAGCGTGAGTTTATGTAGAGCTCTAATTAAAAGAACCATATGGAGGACATCCACATATTTATCCTTGAATTTAATAGGAATTGAGGTACAAAGACTACAAGAAAGTATAAGAAAACACTTGTAAAAATCAGATTCTAACTTCTGCACATCTTCTTGATATAGAGAGTAATAATCACAATCCTTAAATACAGTGTAGTAACAAGAGCCTATTAAAGTTAAACAGTGTTTAATGTATACAGTATTATCATCAAAGTTAGTAGGATGACTAACGATGAATGTTTTAGTGGCAGTATCCTATTCAACAATATAATTGTATGTTCTAAGTTTATGTTTGAACAGATAAGTAGTATAACCATAATAATGATTATGTTTAAAACTATTCATTGGTAAAAGCATTCTATGTTCATTTATTAACAGTAAACTCTCAATAGTCGTGAACTATTTAAGTGTCGTATAGAGTTTTTTCTTTATGTTAGTAATAGTACAGAGGTTGTTATATGTTAATATGTAATTATCATAACAGTTAAATAATTGTTTATTATAAAGAATTGAGCATTGACGAAGGTCTTTAATTAAAGCTTTATAATGAGTTGAAATAAGTTTGTGAATAGTATGTGTACTGCCTGCTATATTTTGGTGAAAGATAAAGGAAATATTAAAGAAGATATTCAAATATTTTATATTACATAGAGTGGATAGAAACTAATCATCATTTTTCTGTATTGTATTATAAGGCTAACAAATCAAGGGGCTTTGTATAATTATTCTTTGATTTATAGTTGTTTGATTCTTATGAGAAATTTTAGTCCCAAAAGACCAGTTTCATTGATCATTTATAAGAGCTCTGAACTGAAATATTGGAGAAGTCATTGTTACAGCATGATACATTGTAAAAATAATGTGAGTTAAACAGATCAATAGGTGTAACTTGTGGAAGCTTGAGTTTTCTTTTCAAAAATACGATAAAGTTGCTGATATTGTTTTACATTAAGCTTTCAATAGGAGTATAAGTTAAGATCTATATTTTATTTTTGAGAGGATTACTGTATTGTAGATAGAAATTATTTGTAAATCAGTTAACCTTTTGTTTTATAATGGTGACAGTATTTTTAATTTTAGCATACAGTTATTTCACAATAAAGTTATTATTAGGTCGCAATGATATTCATATACCCAAATATCTAATGTTATCATTTAGGTAGTAAGAGATGAGTTCATAATGTTGTTGATTACATTGGATAATAAAAGGTTGTGATTGATAAGTATTAACTAACAGTTCTGATTTTAACCAATTAACTTGGATATCATTAAAGTTAAAAAAACTATTAGCAATTAAGTGTCATTTATAAATGCTAAAGCAGGAATGTTGTATTAGTGAGTCGTAGTTTGAGTAAAACAGACATCAGGATACCATTGTATGTTTATATTGTAATCATAGGGTGAATCATTAATTTTGCACAGAAGCAAGTCATAATAAATGCATCACAAAAGTGGTAAAATTACTTCTTCTTGATCAATTCCTGAATGAACTAAATATGTATCAGTATTTCCATGTGACGTGAAAACTTGGTTAAAATAGAGTATAAAAATCTTTATGATGATTTGAATAAACAAGAATAGGATTTTAAGTTGTTCAAAGGCTTTGGCTAATATAAAAATATTAACACAATGTCACGATGGTTTCGTGGCTTCAAATAAAATTTTAAAAGGGTAAATAAAACTAAGACAATTACTCAAGGAATCACAGGTGAGAATTCACAATAACGTCGAAGGATTATTCTCAATATAAATTACATGAGGTAAACACAAAATAAATACAAAGATAACTCAAAGATATTTCAGAGATTACACTTCAGAGACTCCAAGTCAATACAGCGAATTAATACAATATCATATAATAAGTTTACTAATAAAAAGGATTGCACGAATGCAAAGGGATCACAGATAATTTATAACAGTTTCAAAGGGTTTGCGAAGGATAAGTTTTATACTTGGTTAATTATACTCCTTTATTAATATAATATATAAGTTCAGTACCTAAAAGATTAACATCTCGTCGGTGCTGAGACTTAAAGAAAATACAGAGATATTTATACATGTTGAATAAATAATAAAATAAACTAAACTAAATATATCGAAGGAAATAAAGTTGCCATCTTGCTAGGCAATAAAGTTGCCGTGTTAATAAAATTGCCAGATCTGCAGGCAACTAAATGGACATCTATGATCTATGTGATTATCAAAGACAATAAAATTGACATCTAATGATTTGCATAATTAATCAACGGCAATAAAATAGACAAATTGATTTTCATAGAAGATCTACATGGCAATAAAATGGACTTCATATTCTACCAATTAAATCTATCTAAAATTTTACCTATCACAATGGCGAATAGTTCTTTTAGAGATTGGTTTATTGTTTTTAGCAGAAATTATTTTAGTAATATCTGCTAAACTTTTCCATCTCAATTCTTTGCTTTTAAGAACTTCAGCCTTTAATCTTTGCTTTCCTTGATTATCGATTAAACATGGTCAACCTGATCATTTTTGAAAGGTTCTCCTGATTTATAAGCTGCAAGATATCTTGAAACAGTTATTTGATGACATTCTACAGCTTTTGCAATCTTTGAATTTATGTGACCCAATTTATTGGCTGTTATTATGCCTCCCTTTTGCATAAGAGTTAATAATTTAGCGAGACCTATCACATGTTTATGTATAAAGGTGAAAATTTTGGTTTTTTTAAAAAGTGAATTTATTAATTGCTACACATTTAATCAAAACAATAAACAAATATCCCTTTAAAGCAACTGCTAACCTATTCGGTATAAAAATCACATGGCTAGTAACTTATAAAAAATTTATTTAAATTTTTATTTTTAAGCTGTGTAATATTTTTGTCTCCCTTCCAGTATGCTGCTGCAATGGCAAGTGTAATTTTATTGTGCTTATTTCAAATTTAAGACTTGATAGATACATGAAAATGTTTTACCATCTCAGATATCATAAGCAGAATTTCCTATTATTGATTATTGCTGATCAATTTAAATTGGGTATTATTTATACAATTTAAAGTACTTTTTCAGAAATAGTATTACATTTAGTAAAAAAATTTTTGAATTCTTTGGAACATTAACTAACTGCTAGCAAAAATATTAAAAGAGTTTGTTTAAAGGTAATATACTATAATAATTATAAGTTATTGTGCTTGCGTTGATAAATATTCAAAATTATTGTCTTTAATTAAAAATAAAATTAAAATTAAAACTTAAATTAAAAAAAAAATCTGAAATTATGAAAGGTGTAATTATATTCTACAAAATTGAATAGATATCATGAAAATGAAACAGAATAAATTATCTAAACACTCACTAGAAAAAATTTGTTTGAGATATTTATTAATTAGCCCCCTTTATCTTTAGCTCTTAAAATATTATAATTCAATGATCAAAAATTTAAAATTTAAACTAAAAATGAGCAATAGATTTTTGAACACTTTAACAGTTAGAAAAAAATATTTCATAATTACTATCTTATTGCTTATATTGTTTATTATATTAAAATAAAAATAAGTTGCTTGAAATTAATATGTATAACAATAAGTATTATTTATTTACTTAAAATAAATTATCATTATTATATAGCTAATTTTCATATAAACTCCATGATATCACAAAAAATATTAAAAAACAAGATCATCTACATCATATTTGAGTGTATGATAAATAAGCTTAAAGGTTTTTTTAATGTTATAAAACTTGTATTTAGAAAGTAAAAAAATTTGAAACCATTAAATAACTAATGATTTATTGCATTTTAAATAGCTTTTACTGCTTTCATTAAAGATATAAAATATTATATAAATATTATTATTATTTTTTATAGTTTAGATAATGTGATATATCTATTATTTTATTATTAATCAACCATTTTGTCAATTATACTTATTATAAAAATACTGTAAATATATTAAACTAATTAGAAGAAAGTATTAATATAATCTCAGATATCTTATAGTTATGATTATTTTCTGATTTGTTATAAAATGTTTTTTAATTATTATTATAGTTTATATGATCTTTGTGAAATTATTTTTAAAAGTTTCATAAAACTATTTTATGATATAAATACTTAAAACAAAAATTCTTGAAATAAGTTAAATAATCAAAATTTGTATAAGATTTGTTTATAATTAACTGTAAATGGAATTTGATTTTTATTTGTTGACTTTTTTTTATTTATAAAATTGATTCTAATATAGCTAAATATTTATTAAAATTCCTTAACTTTGAAGCCAAATAATTTATTTTTCATTATAAATTTTATATTTTATAATATAAGTATATATTTATTAATAATAGAATAAAATTATTATTTTTTAATCTATATTATATTAAATTTACTAATTTTAAAAATTTTCTTATTTTTTAAATTTCTTAATATTCTAATATATTTTTAAATGATTTTATTTTATAATATTTTTATATAAAAATATTACTAAAAAATCAGATTCTGTGAATTTTTTTAATTAAATATAAGATATAATCATATTTTAATTTAATAATTTCAAAAAAATAAAATTAAAATTTTATTAAAAATTTTCAAAAATCTGATTTTTTTAGTAACCTTCTTATATTATTCCGTTATATTTTTACTTTATTATTAAATTTTCTTTCTTCAATTAAATATTTATTCTTATTATTTAATGATAATTTATTCTTTTTCTTTTATAATTTTAGTAGTTAATTTATTTGTATTCTGTACTAATAGAAATATTCTAATTAGCTAAAAATTAAATGGTTAAATTTAGTTTAAATTTAAACTATTATAGTATAATTAATATTTATTAACCCAAATTAAATAAATAATTCAGTATTAATTTAAAATATAAATTTAACTATAATTTGCTTAAAAATTACTTCAATTAATTTAAATATAAATTTACTGCAATTTTGCATTAATAAAGTATTATAAAATTAATATTAATAATTATTATTATACTATTATTTAATTAAATTATTAAATTTTTATTAATATTAATATTATAAATTTATTGCAAAATTAACAAAAAAGAAAAAAATAATAAAATAAATAAACAAAATCTATAGATTTATTTTTATAAAAAATATAAGCAAGATAAAAAATAATAAATAATAATACTTAATATTGTTTCAATATTTATTTAAATATTTATCATTATTACTATTTATATCATTATTATTATCTATTAAAAAACTTAAAAATATTGCTTTCAAAATCTCTTAAATTGTTTTTTTAATTATTTAAAATTTGTAATCACTATTATTTTCTTTGTTAATTATTCATTATTATTTATTTTAAAATTATTATCTCTATAATCATTAACAAATATCAGTCCTAATACATATTTTTGT